TGCCAAATCTTATGTGTTATACTCCTAATTAATTTAATTTCCTTGTAGTACTTTGTTTGCATGCTAGAATAACAAAACCAAAGCCTTTCCACGTCAATATATTTGAAAAATGGCATGCTTTGTTTGTGCTTATATTATGTGGGGTTCTCGGCAAAAGATTTTGCTGAAAAATATTTCTTTTTTAGTAAGACTAAATGCAATATATATATAAATATATATCAAGACTTGAATTCAAGATATTTAATTAAACCAGTACAACTCCAAACAAACTAAAATATGTACAGGTTAGTCTAAAGGAGTTATTATTATGTGAATCTTATAGCAAAATAATAATAGTAGCAGCAGTAATTAACAAAAAGTTAAGGCCACTTCTCGAGCATTTTTGTTTCAAATTGTTAAGGATATAGTCCTTAACTACAATTTGTGTGTCGTAGAAACTTTTTTAATAATAATAATATATAATATAATAATAATAATATAATGGGGTTTAATTGAAACGAAAATAATTAAAAACTAAGTATGTTTTATATTATCTAATGGCTAAATTTGCACTGAGATATGTTTAGGTGGTTGGAGTTATATAGGATACCAGAAAATTGATAGTACACAATGTCGTGTGGACTTTGGATATATGAGAATAATGATCAGATTCAGGTCATCCAACCAAAGCTTCGGCCGTAAAAAGACAAAACATCTTTCCGCTTATTCTTTTTATTTTGTCAAACATTGAGATTGTAACATTTCTTGGATAATCTTTGAGTTGACACATATAATATAACCAACTTAAAATAATTTATATCAAGTGTCCATGTCTACGAATCTGCCAAATGTTGGTATTTAGTTTTCTAAGACTCGTTGGAAATCAGAGGCATTCGAAACTATAAACAGTTAAACATAAAATAAGACTCTCTTTTGACAACGTCTTTAATTTCCCCTCTAATCCTACATTGATTTGGAGTTTAAAGTGTAGATGACCTTTTTTTTTTTTTGAAAAAAAGAGTAGAACCTTAGGACATTGGTGTCTTATATATATGAAATCAGTCTTCTAAACATGCATGGGATTGTCGGGAAAAAGAAAAAAGAAAATGTAATCATGTAGCACTTGCTCCATGTAAGTCACTTATAATACTATTTTCAAATTGAAAGAAGATAAATAGATAATTCAATCATTAATATAGTTAAAACAGAAAATAAATACTCTAATTTATCTTTATTAAATGTATCATCTTTAAAAACACATACTTTCATATGCAACTTTTACCCCCTTATAAAACTTGCAAAATGAGGGAGTATTCAATATATAACTATCAATTAGAAGAGCGTAATTAATAGTTAATCCTTTTATACAAAATGACATATAAAAATTCTCATCAATTTCTTCAAACAGATGACTTATACAAGTGAGGGAGTATTCAACAGTTGTCATATAGAGTACTTTTTTAATTGTTAAACAAACCAATTCAATTATACATGGATTACCACTTGTGTGGATTTGAGACTCTAGATTAACTGACTAATAGTAATCATATGTAACTGACTGACTAGTAATCATACCAAGAACCTTTGTTTCAACTGGCAAAGAGGCATTCTTGTGATGCTTAGATCGTAATTTGAATCACACCTATAAATGTTTTTACATTTGCCTACTAAAAAAAGTAGTTATTTAATGTATGATGAGTAAGTCAATTTGTGCATCTATTTGCTTCTTTAAAAAAATATTATTGAAAGTTACAATCTAATCCCTCATGATTAAGTTCCTAATTTTTTTTTATAGTATTTGAGAGATGATGGTTATAGGTGTAATCACATATTTAAATAAACATGAGAGCTTTAATTGTGTTACAGCATGCATTGACTTTAGTCAATTTATTATTTCAGGCTTTCACCAAAGGTTAGGGTCATTTATGATACCCATAATTTCATTGATAGTGTTAGAACAACAATTTATATATCTAAAAAATCCTTAATCTAATTTTCTTGATTATCATGAATGAGATCTTCATTGCTGTCATTGGTGTCAATAGAGTTTTTAATGTCTGATCTAATTCAGCCACATTCTAGTGAACACCATTTTGTTTGGTGCTTTTATGGTCCAAAGACTTACAGTTGAATTTTGATTGTTGATTAAAGTCATTGATAATGTTTTGGATGCAGGAGGAGGAAATGCCTTTTCCATGAGTTTTTTTTTTCCTTCTTTTTTTCAAAATAGATGAATTTGTATTTCTCCTTCTAAATATGAGATGCAATTCTGAGTTGGCAAAGTATTTAAATAATCCCAATTATTCATTTGATTGTCAAAACCTCGCTTCATTGAATTTATTTGATTATCGCGCCACTAGCTAGATGGATTGCATTAGAAAAGCAGTATTATAAAACGCATTAGCTATTTATCGCTAAACCAATTTTAACACGACCAAGGAATTTATTGAAAATACAATTTTCAAAGAAGAACATATTAAGAATAAAAAGTACAACATGAAATTATATTATATTTTAGACAAAAGAGAGAGCAGAATGGTACGTGGAATGTGAAGAGTACGTTTGGTGGAAGGAATAGGGAAGGAATGAAGAAGGGGAAGGCAAAGCAAAGCTGAAAAACAAAAAGGCGAACTGAGATTGTGGAGAAATCAGAAAAGTAAACCAAAAAAATAAAAAAAATAAAAGAAAAAGTAAAAGTAAAAGACAGACAAAAGAAAAAAAAAAGCAAGAAAGCGAAATGTGAGAAGGAAGCCCTTCCCTGTCACTTTGCCATGGCGTGATACTGATTCATTTACCTCCCTCCCTCTCCCTCTGAGCGACAAAACAAAGAATCTTTTAAATTTGGAACCATCTTCATCAAACCCAACCCCCAAATTCATACATTTTAGTCTCCTTCCCAATCTCAATTACGCTCCATTTGTTTGCATACTAATTTTCCTATATTTAAGTTAACTATCCATTTACTTTATATCATCATTTTTATACAAAAATGATCATCAATTAATCAACTTTAATGTATTGTTTTTTGGATTAAAGGCAAATCTACACATAAAGTAGTTGGCAAAGAGCACCCAATACCATAAAGTGAAAAAAAATGGCATGAATGCCTATAACGTTATGTGAGTGAATGTAGAAGTGATCAAATTGTTAATTTTATTCTAACGTCGTTAGTTTTTGGTGTTAAATACTAACTGTGCATATCACATGTCAGTCTTTGTTGACATGGATTAAAAAAATAGGCAAAAATACCCATGAAAGAGTCAGTCAAGGGCATCTAATAACTTGAAATAAAAAAACTACTCATAACGTTGCTAGAGTTGGTGTAAAAGTGACTAATTCAACAAATTCTTTAAATATTGACTGTTTAGCTGATATCTAAGCAAAAGTTAATCATTTTTTTTGTTGACATGGACAAAAAATTTCTAGTTGAAATTTTATGAAGGTTATGAGTTAGTATGAATATTATGTGACAAAATATCATTTTAACTGAATGTCAAATTAAACGAATTGGGTGTCCCTGATTGATTATTTTATAATCTTGGTTGCTCCTAACCAATTACTTTATGTGTAGATTTGTCCCTTAACTCTTTTTTTTTTTGGCCAAATCACCTTTAATGCATACAACATTGATTCTAGTTTATACAATATAAATTTTTATTTTTTTTTTCAATTCTAATAAAATATGTTGAAATTTACTTACAAATAAATAAATAGGGAGGATTGGATCTAGTTTGCAACAATATTCAACAAGATATTATTTAAAAAAATATTTTTTTATTATATTTTAACAATAAATAATTTTATATTAATTTTTGTCTGTAAATAATTTTTTAAATAGTGCATGGATGTTATTCTCCCTGGATATACCATTTTAAGCCAAAATTATTAAACCCTCCCAACAAAATTCCAAGAGGCAAAGATATTTGAGGAAATGTTCTTGTCAACAAAAAACAAAAAAAGCACAGAGAATATGAAGTACGAAAGTAACGAGACCATACACACGAAGCTGAGAATGAGACCATCAAATCAGAGAATGACAACGTCAGTGTTGTTTCGGTAAATAGTGACAAATCCGAGCCCAAAGGAAGAAGGAAAAAAAAAAAATTTCTTTCAACGCTAAACAACGGAGCTCGGGGGATCTAAGGACGCACAGCGACTTCCATTATTTGTTTTCCGTAGTCCGTTCAGTTTATTACATTAATAATTAAAAATAAAAAATAACTTTAAAAATACTTCACAGACTAATATGTGGCCCACAAAAAATTAAGGCAAAAAATCCTGTGAGATTTTTGTTAGTGTTTTCTTGCCATAAAAAGCATTGGACAAACCTGTAATTTAATTTAAGTGAAACACAGCCTTTACAAAGAGCTATGCGCATATCATAGCATATAATATTTATATTAGATCAAGTGAGACATTTTGTTAGGTAAAAATAACTGAAATGTCTATAGATCTTTAAAAATATACGAACATCGTCTATACTTGAACATAGTAAATAAAATTTAAGTTACATTGAATTTAATTATTAGACAAATAAATTTGATTAATGTATTAAAATTTTTAATAAAAATAAACAAATTAAAAATATGGAATTTGAATAATTAAATTCTTGAATAGTTTTATTTTAAATATATTTACATGTTATAAATTCTAAAAATGTATATTTAATTTCATTAAAAATGTAGCTAAATAAAATCTATGAACACTAAAAGATTAAAATAATGTTACGCATGCACACACATGGAGTAACACAATATTTTATTTTATTTTTTAATTTTAAATTTGCTTAATAGGTATATTAATATACATGGGGAGTGAATGGGATGAATCCAATCATAACTCTTTGTTCATACAGACGCGTTTACAGCAACGGTGGCGAATAAGAACATTTTGATTTTTTGGGATAATAAAAAAGATGTTTCCCTTCAAACCCGTTACGCCGCGCGACTCGTGGGGAAGTTCCCCATTATACCCTGGCACGGCAACTTTTTCTTTTAAATATTTTCTTACATTTTCCCTCTTGGTATTTCCCTTCAAAATTTCCTCTCAACTTTCTCGCTGTCCGTGGGAACCAAACTGGTCTCTGTCTCTCTCTCTCTCTTTCCCTGTCGTAGACACAGAAAAAGACAAGCGCACATAACACTCTAGTCTCATTCATTTCTCTCCTTCACTTCCAAGCTTCTTCCCCTAACATGATCAGAGTTCAAATCCTCACACTCTCACGCCATTTTCGGTTATGAATCCCCCCGCCAATCCCACAGCACCACCACCTCCTCCTCCAGCAGCCGCAGCACCACCGCCATTGTTGCCCCCACAACCTCCATTGCAGCCTCACCGACCTTCCACCTCCTGTGACCGTCATCCAGAAGAGCATTTCACTGGATTCTGTCCCATATGCCTTTGCGAACGCCTAGCCGTACTCGATCCCAACTCCTCTACTGCTTCTTCTTCCTCTGCCCGCAAGCCCCCCATTTCCTCTACCGCTGCCGCCGCACTTAAAGCCATTTTCAAGCCCTCCTCCGTCTCCGGCGCAGGCGGTCGTAGCAACAGACCGCCTAGTTCATCGTCATTCTTACCTGAGCTTCGTCGCACCAAGTCTTTCTCTGCTTCGAAAAACGAGGGCTTCTCTGGGGTTTTTGAGCCTCAAAGAAAATCTTGTGACGTTAGGGTTCGTAGCACTCTCTGGAATCTCTTCCATCAGGACAACGAGCGGAACCCTTTTAAGAAGGAAGCTTCTAGAACTGGTTCTGGAAGTGGTGAAGCTGAAGCGGAAACTAAGAACTTAGCATCTTCCAGTGTTCAGGGTCCGGTTATAGAGTCACAAGAAGAAGAGGAGGACGAAATCAAGGAGGAGAACGTTGAGGAGAAGGACGAGGAGGAGGACAAGGGGGAAGACGAGGACGAGGACGGGATTAGGGTTTTGGAGGAACCCAATTCGGGGAATGTGATTGAAAACAGAGTTCAAGAAATAGTCGAGGAAGAGGAGCTAGAGGAAGAGTTAAAAACCATGAAGGACCATATAGATCTCGATTCACAAGCTAAAAAGACTTCCGGAGGGAGACATCTCAAAGAAATTGCAGGTAGTTTTTGGTCTGCGGCTTCGGTCTTCAGCAAAAAATTGCAGAAATGGAGGCATAAGCAGAAGATGAAGAAGCATAGAGGCGGTGGCGGGTCTGCCACATTGCCGGTGGAAAAGCCAATCGGAAAGCAATTCCGGGAGACCCAGTCAGAGATCGCCGATTACGGGTTTGGACGCAGGTCGTGCGACACCGATCCGAGGTTCTCGCTCGATATTGGCCGGATGTCGCTCGATGCGGGCCGGATATCGTTTGATGATCCTCGATACTCATTCGACGAGCCTCGTGCTTCCTGGGATGGCTACTTGATCGGAAGAACTGTTCCGAGGATGCCCCCAATGCTTTCTGTGGTGGAAGATGCGCCGGTTCACGTTCTAAGGTCCGATACTCAAATCCCAGTCGAAGAGCCAATGAATGCGATCAATGAGGGCGAGACAGTTCCGGGGGGGTCAACGCAGACCCGAGAATACTACTCCGATTCATCCTCTCGCCGGAGGAAGAGCCTTGATAGGTCCAATTCCGTTAGAAAAACTGCGGCAGCAGTTGTGGCTGAGATGGACGAGTTGAAGTCAGCTTCAAACGCTAAGGTCACTCCAGCCACTTCAGAATACGTACACCCGAAGATGGTCTTACCCGATAGAATTTTAAGGGACTCCAACTCGAATTCTCTTAGAGATGACTGCTCAGATCAGACATTTGAACTGGGTTTTGGAGACACCGCGTCTGTGATCGGAGCTGGCGACCAGAAAGGGTCGTCTAAGAAGTCACGCCGGTGGAGCAAGGGGTGGAACATATGGGGTTTAATAAATCGGCGAGGAGGAAACAAAGACGAGGAAGAAGATAGGTATAGTAGAACCAATGGGACTGAACGTTCATTCTCAGAATCTTGGCATGATCTGGGCAGTGAAAGAATTAGAGACACCAGAAATGGTTTCAATCCCAAGGTGTTGAGAAGCAACAGTAGTGTGAGCTGGAGAAACGGACATAGTATGAACGGATCATTTGGTGGCAGTATGAGGAAGAATGGTTTTCATGGAAGCAAGGGAAGAGACAACAGGGACGAGTTTGTATTGGAAAGGAATAGGAGTGCGAGGTATTCGACTAGCGACGCAGACAATGGACTCTGGCGATTCTACTTGACACCCATGAGAGTAGGAGGCGGATGGAGAAATGTTGGGTCCTCCGGCAAAACCAAGTCGAACCAGGCACAGTCCATTGCTAGAAGCGTGCTTCGATTGTACTAAAACTAAAGGTCCCTTGAGGTCGTTCTTTTGGTTTGATGTTGTTAATGTTGCTGCATTTGTTCTGTAAAACCACACACATGCCCTCTGTATTCTTCTTGATGGTTATTTGGTTGGTTGGTTGGATAAAGCACCCTGCATTTCTCTTTCGCATTGCATGCTTCTTCTTCCTTACTCTTAATAACACGAATTTCCGGTGTTTGCTTTATGATAATTGCTCATGAACGAATGCATGCACTAATAGTTGCTGTTTGTCAATGGCTTGGATGATCCAGTGAGTTTTTTTTTTTTTTTTTTTTTTGCCCTCTTGGAGGATGGGACGTATGATAGGGAGACGCTGAAACATGCTTTGGCTTTGGACACTATAGGGGATTCTTTTTCTGTCTTCTATGCTGCAGAAGGATAGTGGATCGGTATAAGAATATGTAAATAGGAGCAATATTATGACTAGTTAAATATGATATGCGTATATTCCTGAGAAAGTGGTAACAAGGTGGGTTCATGCCACTTGGTTTTGCTGCTTGTCATAATTTGTTGAGTTCTTTTTTCTCCTCGGCATCAATGAGCCAAACTTTTGTTACATGTGACTTAGTCTGGATCTAGGTCGCAACTAGATATTACATTCGTTTATTTTATCATTGCATCTGATATGTTCATTGCAGTCTTACAGACACGTTCTAGGCTTTAGATTTAGTCTCGTTCTTCAGATTCTGTTATTTGATTATTTATTATAATTATCGTGCAAAATATACACATTTTATGTTCGTATTGTATTTTTTGACTTGGTGAGTAGCATACAACTTGAACTTACCCTGAATTTTTCTATTTTGTCATTTTTTTTAAATTTTATTGACATTATAACCTTGTATGTGATTTTTTTTTTACAATTTTATTAAAATTATATACAGTGGCAGCGAAACTAGGATTGCAAGATAATTTAATTTAAAAATTAATAATTTTTTAAAATAATAATCATACTAAAATTGTAATAACATAAATAGATTGATTATTATTTTTGAAAAAAAATTATATTGAGCATGTTAATATGATCTTTTATGTAAATATATTTTTTTATATTTTATTTGAATTATTAAAATATTAAGTATTTAATAAGCTTTTAAGCATAAATATTTTTTATCTAATTCAAAAAATACAAAATATCAAGAATAAGGTGTAAAGTAAAATTTACAAATCTTATTTATAATTTTTTTCAAAATGAGGGGTTCATTTGCCACCTCATCACCAAGCGGCTCACTATATAGACATATTATCATTATTGTTATTTTGAGACACGTCTGTATTCCTCTGGAGATTTGTATAATTTTGATAATTTTAAAGGTTTATGTAATCTATATATTAATGAAGTGATTTTAAAACTAGGGTGACTCCCTGTATAATGATAGCCGCTGGGGGTCTATTCTAGATTAGATGAAGTCTATGAAATACTTTTTTTTTTGGAGTAAAAAAAATATGTTTATAATTTTATTTTGATAAATTTTATGAAAAAAATTCTGATTTATTTTAAAATAAAGTGAATGAGTAAGCATGTTCGTCTCACAGCTTGAATTAAATACTTTATTGAAGGTAAATAGAGAACTCGGGAAAGTAAAAGCTTAAAAGAATTAGGTTGAGAAAATGTATATTTTTTTGGAGATTAACTCGATTCACTTTTTTTAAAAAAAAAATCAAAGCCAAACTGTAAAATGTGACAATTATAAATATTAAAAATATATTTATAGGGATTAATGTTAAAATTAGGAATGGAAATAAAGTGGGTTGGGTTGTATGAGGTAGCCTGTTGAAATGTGATGCCATGGTGACATGCTCATGTGTATTTAGTTGAAGTGTATAGAAGGTGGGAGAAAGAAGTGAGTGAGGATGAATGTCAATTGAGGATAGACAAGGTTGGGGTTGGAGTGGAAATAAGTGAAGAGGAAGGGAGAAGAAGACAAAGAGAATCTAACAGAGGGAGTGCTGAAACTTTGGTCCCTCCATGTTTGTAAAAAGAACAACATTTTCTTAGATTCTTTTCTTCCTCCCTCCCCTTGTTCCGTCACCATCATCTTCTTCACCTCCCTCCCTGTGCTTTACCATGCATTTTTCCACCTTTTTTTTTAAAAAAAAAAACTAGATGGGCAGCACAAATGATTTAAGATTACAAGCTAAATCAAACCCATGATATCTCATTTATAGAATAACTTGCATGTTATTAGGAAACTATTCATCTACCATTGTTGAAGTCTTGAGAATTTATCAAGACCTTAAACTTTTTATTCTGACAGCATTGAAGTTATTAACTTCATCACTTGAGGTTATCCTAAAAGCCACCTTTACTATAATATTGTTCAAAAAACTTGTAATTTTTTTTATCTTGATTGGACCATTTCTATTAATTTTGTAGTTAGGAATGTTATTAGTCATGCTCATTCTTTTGCTAGGAAAGCTTATTTTGTGGATAGCTCCTTTTACATCTTTGATCATGCACCACCTCACTTTATATTAGGAGCTGAATGATGATTGAGTTTGCTTCCTTTAGATTTGTATTAGGTGTACTGTACTGTTCCTTTTCTTATTTTGAATGAATTCCAGCTTTTGATTCAAAGAAAAAAGGTTACAGCCTGTTGGTTTTTTCACATTCTTATGACTTTATGTTCTCATCTCTTCATTCTCTCCACGTCTTGCCCTGAAAATAAGGAATTTCTTACTGGATTTCGATGCTGCCTTTAATTCTTTTCTTAAACATTGAGCTATGTTTGATTGATAGATTTTATTTGGAATTCATTATTTTTCCTGCCCTTGTTGACTCAGATTTTAAAACAGAATAAAACGGTGGACTCACCGCAAAGCCTCCCTTGTGCAAAACTTAACGAGATTTTTGTGAAAAAACTTTTCATTTACCTACTGCTCGGCTAAAATTACAAAATATTTTTAAATAAAATTTTACATATCAAAAAATTTATTAAATATACTTAATAACATAAAAATTTTTAAAAATAATATTTATTTAATATATTAAAATGAGACAGGGACATAAATTAAATAAAACATAAAGGATAATATTAAAATAAACTTATTTAATAAAAAAATAATTTTTTAAAGTGTTTTATAATTTGAGACAGATGGAGTATATCTTAATTAATCAAGAGTGATTAAATCTAGTGAGAAGGGCTATTCACTCATAATGTAGCAAATCAAGATTCAAATCTCCACTAGAAGAGGTATCTATATTTAAGATTCAATAGTGCCTTGATTGCTTTCTTATAGAAGAATATTCATGGATATAAAATACTGCATCTTAATTGAATTTTAAGGGAGAACTGATCTTGATCATTTAAGCATAATGTCCTCTAGATATTAAATTTTTATATATTAATTGAAACAATTATCTTTAAATTTTCATTTTTCTCATCAGAATTGAATGGTATTTCTATCTTACATTTTTTTTTTCATTTGAAATAATTGATAATGAGCATGAGAAAGGCAAATGGGTCGGTCTCTTGTCTATTAAGGAAATATATGTAAAAGAGATTTTGTCGGTCCAAGTCCATGATCCGTCCTTTCAGTTCAGTCTCCTTACTTTAAGAATACAAAATTATTAATTAATATACCATTGCTGGGATTCATCTTTTTGAAAAAACAATTGGAGCACAAATTCTTAAAAGCATTAGGTGTTACATTTTTTTGTACAAAAAATACAATATATTTATTTTTTGGTAATTAATACAGTATGTTTATAATTATTGTAAAGATTAATGTTCTCATGTAAAGATTTCCATTTAACATGAAAAGTCATTTTGATGCTCAATTTTTTACTTGAAGATGAGGTCCTTTTATTTAGTTTTTTTAATATAATCTCCTCTCAATTTCATTCTAATTATAAATAAAATAAAGATGATCTTAACAGTTTTCTAAAGCAAAAAATGGTCTTTGAAAAGAGGGAAAAATACTTGAGTTAAAAAAGGGCTAAAAAAACAGAAAAACTTTTTTGTTTAAAAAATAAAAAAAATTATATGCGTATTTGACTAGATCATACTCGAATATTGTTGGAATTAATTGAGAGTAGCTATTTCAAATACATATTTATATTTACAGATCTGAACTTGAAATATCATATTTAAGAAGTTATAGCCTTTTTTTCACTAGAATCAATGCCTGTTGAAATTAAAAATATCTTGTCCAAAATCTAGCACATTTTAGCTAATAAATACGTGGTGATAGGTTTAGAGTTTTAATTAACGATAGAAATAGTTTAAAAATGCGGAAAAATAAGTCTCATGGTTTAAAAAAATAACTATAAAAATACAAGAGCTAATATATATAGAATGGAGGAAGGCATGGAAATGTGTAGGAGGAGGTGGGAAGTAAAGTGAATGGGGAAGCTCCCATGATGTGTGTGAAGAGAGAAGATAAAAGCAGAGAGGAAGGAGGAGAGAATTGAAGAGACGTGAAGACTGAAGGGGATAAGCACTAAGCAAAGACAGGAATTAAACGGTAATGATGAAGAGGTTAAGATAAAAGATTATCATTATGTCCCACTTTGGATATGAAAGGAATCAAAACAAATAAAATACAATGCAGGGTAGGATCCATTTCAACTGCCAAGCCTTGCAATCACAAACAAGTATATATATATATATATATATATATGCTTTCTCACATGTCCCATAATAATATTATTTGGAGGGAGAAGCTCCATCATCACGCACACTCACATCTCTCACACCACCCTAAGTTATGTCCCGAAAGTCAAAAAGAGGCCAAATGATACCACAAAACAAGCTCATAACCCTATGCTTCTGTCTCCCTTTAGTTTTGACTCTATTTGTCTTGCATATATGAGTTAAATTCAAGTATTATGAGGTCTAATTGATAATAACTTCTCTAAAACTGTTTTTTGTATTTATATGGACTTGGATCCAAGATTTTATGTTTAAGCAGTCACATTCCTTACACTAAAACTAATGCTTATTGATTGTAAATGTTCTTATTTTAATTATTCCCTTCGGGCTTCAACCCCTTATGCATCCATCTTTACACTCTTGCTATCGTAATCCTCCGAATCATCTACACGAATCACTACAGAATGGAACGAGTTGGGCTGATTTAAGCCCAAAGTATCTTTGGATGCAAATAGGTATGTAATGGATGGGGCTAAGTGAGCGTAGACAAGACCTAACTTCTTAAACAGTTAAACTAGGGCCTTTTCTTCATGGGCTTTTCAAAAATGGAATGTGTTTTTCATGCAATTACGACATCGTTTCTGATCTTTATTTCTATTACCACCCACGCACACAAACCCTCTTCCTTTTAAATTTGACAGAGGAAACCTTTGTCAAATTAGATGCTTTTGGATTTGACCAACACCAAAGAAAAGGAAGACCCCCAACTTAACTCTTCTAAGGAGATATATATATATATATATATATACACACTCATGCATGTATACAAATACGTCAACACTATGTTTAAATTCAAAACTTCTTTTAAACGAGAGAGATTGTTTTGTTAGGATAACTAGTCATTGACATCCTTATTTTTTCAATTCAACTTACCATTTTTTTTGAAAAGTATTTAAAATATACTAATTCAAATTAAATATAATAACGACAACAGCTGTCCAAGTTTTATTGTTGTGGAGGAAATGTATCAACGCATAGATCCAAACTTTGTACTAATGTTATTGGTTGGCAAAAAAAGAAAAAAGAAGAGGAAGAGGAAGAAGAATTTAGATTAGCATCCAACCCTTAGCAATTAAAAAAAGCACCACAATTCGCAGGTAACATAATGTTTTCTTTCTTTCGTTTTATAAAACATAATGATTTCTGTATGTGAAAGAAATTGTAAATTGCGGACCTTTTTATTGAAAGGTGGTAAATTGCCGACCCTTTTCTGATAGTCATATTTGTTCTCTCTCTCTCCCTCTCTCTCCCCTCTCCCCTTCCCTCCCCTTTTTCTTGGATCGATGTTTGTCTCTTATGATTGATGAATGAATTTCCACGTTTGCATTTTTAAAAAAGAAATTGGGATTACAAATCCAACTTTAGCATCTTCTTTTGTTTTCGGTGTCCATGTTTGTATCAAACCAAAAGCCACGGATCAGCCCAAAAACAAAAAAGGAAAGAGCTGTGTCATTGGCTCATTGCCTTGTCTTCAGTGTGAAACAAAAACCTCAACCAACAAATTGTGAAACCAAAGCAGTCATTCTTTTGCTCCAAAAAAAAAAAAGGCATTGTTTTTTATAAATTATGTGTTGTTATTAACATGTATTGATTCTAGTGAAAGAAGCTATGACTACTTAAATATGGGATTTTGAATTAAAGTTAATGGGAAAGCAGCAAACTTTTTTTAAAAAAAAAAAAATTACTTTCACTTTAATCCTATAATACTTGAATCCAATTTAATCAAATAATCACATAAAAAAAAAGTTGTGTATGGTTGTTTTTTTTCTCTTGGGAGGATATTCTTTTAAAACATAAAAATTTACACTGTAAGCCCAATAAAATCTAAAAATGTAATGTAGGCCTAAAGGCCTTTCTTGTAAATTTTGTTGTAAATAAAAATATGCAATTGTCCTTGTTTTAAGAGCATGTCCATATATGCACAAATATGATCTTCACAAATTTAGTAAATATTTAGTAAATATAGTTTAACTTGAAGTGAAATGTATAAGTAAACAAATGATGAATAACACAATGTTCATGAATATTTAACATAATGTCCATCAATTTTCAACACATTGAACATATGTAAACCTACAACATTTGTACAACATAAAGTCCATAATGAACAACATAATTTTATTAAAACAATATACTTCAAGTTAATGTCCACCGGATGTGTGATGCGTGTATGAATAATGTATTGAGAATTCGTAAGTATTGTGTTGTGTGTACATAAATATTTTATTGAGATAAGGACAAATGTATTTTTTCATTCACAATAAGATTTGAAAAAAGAGCCTTCAAGCTTGTAGTGTGTTTTTAGATTTTATTGAGCTTACAGTGTAAATTTTTGTATTTTGAAGGCTCTAAATGAGATTTTTTCTTTTCTTTTCGCAAATCATGATTGCTCTTAGGGGGGGAAAATAGAGCTAGAGTAAAAAAGTTTAAACACATCCACAAGTAATTGAAAGTTAAGAGAGTTGTTAATGGTAATAAATGTGGTATGCAATTTCACCATAATGATTTGATGCATTAATTCTCTATTATCTACGAAAGACATGCATTTCTTCTTTTGCAGCTGGGATGAGTGAGTTATTGGGGGAAAAGCCAACGTAAAAAAAGCTTTTAAATTTAATACGCTTTTTTCAATTAAGTTGCAATAATTGGTTCGTAAACTTGAAAGAAAATAAAACCACTGATAATAACTAGCTGAAGGATTAATTAGCCATACAAAACGAAATGCATGAATCCTCATTTGTCCAATATTCCAATTCGCCTCAATAAAAGAAAAGGCAGCACCAGTTACCGTGATCGGAATTTCAGTCTTTAGATTTATCTAAAGGTGAATATTGCACCACGTAATGCAATATTTTGTGAGGGGAGGATCTCGGGAGCAAATCACAGCCGTTAACTTCATATGAATATCGGGAGCTTTTAAACTACTTTTTATAATTCCTCTTGGTTTGCTCAAAAAAAAATAAAAAATCCTCTTGGTTATTTCCCATTGAATCTCAAGAAATTTTTAAATAAATTAGGTGTGTCATATCATTTATAATCTGTTTAAGTAGAATATCTCAACTTATCTAACTAAAATCTTATGTAAAATTATTTTAATTAATTTTATTCTTATAATGCAATGTATATTTAATTCCTTGCATTTTTTATATCTACTATCATTAATATCATAATTAATTTATATTTAATACTGTCTGAATGTTATGTTTTTATTAAACAAATTACAAATGACATGATACATTTGATTTACTTAAAAAATGCTCTCAAATCTTGATAGGGATTGGTGCATTGATGACTAGAATGCGTTATTTGATAAAAGTTAAAATAATCAGCTCTTTGAAAGTTTCTCTTTTTTATTGTCAAACCTGTAACAACCTCACCTTACCCTACCGAGGGTCTTTTGGACCGGCGCCTTAACCATTCACGTAGCGAGCCTAGTTTTTTTTAAGGTGGTACTTAGATTATTTCTCACCTCACCAAAAAAGTTTTTTAGAGCCTCCCCTGACTCAAACTTCTAACCTCTACTATTTTAAGGAAGTTGAGGCGAAGTCACCACCATCACTTTTTATGTAACAGCCTTTACCCCACCCCACTGGAGGTCTTTAGGACTGGAGCCTTAACTACTCGTGTAGCGGGTCCAGCTTTTTTCAAGATGGTATTTGAGTCAAAGTTGATTCAATGATACTAGACTTCACCTTATCTAAATGTGGTAGAAGTTGGGGGTTTGAGTTTGAAAAGACTCCAAAAAACCTCTTTAGCGTGGTGAGGAATAACTCAAATACCACCTTAAGAAAAGTTGGGCTCGCTACGTGAGTGCTTAAGGTTCCAGTTTGAAAGACCCCCGGTGGGGTGGGGTGAGGGTTGTTACAAAACCCTCTAATTTAATTTTGCGAGTTTATTATTTTTACATTTTATATTTATAAAATCGTATCAACTCCTTTACAATTACAAAGTCCAAGATACAAGATAATTTAATTTAAAAAATTAATAATTTTTAAAAATAAAAATTTAATTATTAAAAATAATATAATTACACTAGGAATAAAATTGTTACAACATAATCCTCATTTTTTTAAAAAAATTATATTGAAAAGGTTAATATGATTTTTTATATAAAATATGTTATTCATATCTTATATCCATCATTAAAATATTAAGTATCTAATAAGCTTTTAAGACCAAATATAATTTTTGTTTAATCTAGAGAATGCAAAATATCAAGAATAAGGGTGAATCAAAAAGCCTTTGTGAAGGGTCTTCAAATTAATAGATAAATCAAAAACTCAAGAGCCTTTATTATGTTGAAATGTCCACAAAATTAGAAGACAAAAATCCATAAGAGTTGGGATGGAAATATCATAAAAGAAATATTGACCAAAAAAATGAATGACAAAATTGAAATTGATCAATAATTTCACCAATACAAAGACAATCTTAAGCATAGTATACCCACAATTTCAAGGGGAGCAAATCAAGTAACAGGTATAGATTTGTAAACAGATATAACAATCCTCAAACTTCTTGACAGATAATCACGTACAACAAGAGTTTCAACCAAAATTTGTAAACATGTATATCAATTTTCATGCAAGAAATAGATCATCATATTAGGCAAAGATATAACCTAATATCAATTAGAAAGAGAAAGCCAGACTAAACCCAAAATCAAATTAGCACAATGAATTGAGAATTGACGCACAAGGTGATTCATAACTATATCTACCTTGTTGAGGCTTGAGGCCATATACTTCTTCTTCTTAGCCATGGCTAATGACACAAAAAAGTGTTAGTTTAAAAATCAAAGCATAGAATTGTGACGATGTGAATGAGAGGGAGGGCCATAGAGCAGCTTTAAAGAGGTTGATGTTGGTAGTGGTCTTGTAAGCCCAAATTCAAAGAGGAGAAAGGACAAAGGAGCAAGGAGGGAAATACATGCTGCCAATGGTCTGAAAGTTGCCAAATATTGTGATGGGTGCTAGAATTTAGAGGGGAGAGAATTTGATAAGGGCATTTTAATCAATTTGAAGCTTCAAATTAATGGCTTTGAAGGAACTCAATTTTTAATCTACGCCAAATTTTTTTCAGCAAAATAAAATTTGGTCAGGTCTTTTTCTTTTTGACAATTTTCTCTATTTATTATTCCTATTCAAGTTTACTTACTGTACTTAAACCTGTGAGTGTAAACTTTGTTTCCTTCCGGGCTCGATTCCGACCACGAGTGGCGTGCACGGGTATGAACCAGTCCCTGAGGGCTTTTGGAATTCGACACCAGCAAGTGTTTTCACACCATCAACCGGCATCGACTCATCCCAATCTTTAAGGAAGAGATCGAAGATCCCAAGTTCTTTTACTCCATTCATTAAGTCTTTTCCGCCGGACGGCCCTCCAATTTTCAAAATCGCTTCTGCTCCCTGCTTCCGCCAGCGCAGGCCGCTAGCGCAACCGCAGACCCATTTTCTTCACAACCTTGCTCCGTTACAAACGGCCCCCTCCATCATTCTTCCTTCCTGACCAGTCTCCTCCTTTTCTCAGTTTCTCCACCGGTCCTCTTAAGTTCAATCGAGGAGGAGAAAGAGGACAGCAAGTTTAGAAAACGATGGGACTTTGAAGGACCTGATCGAGAGGGAGGGGTATATTTGATGGGGTTCTCAAGAAGGGGCTTTGAATAGATACTCATGTATGCTGATTGGTAATTTTGATCGAATTCAGTCTATTTGATTTCTGATTTATTGATTATAACATGAAAAAAAAATCTTGAATTTTTCTGGGTTGTTTGGTAAAAATGGCTTGGTTTCTTTGGCTTCTGCATATTATGAAAATTTGTCATGAATTTGGTGCAAATGCCTGAATTTGGTTTCTGCTGATTGCTAATTAGTAATAGCTGTTTCTTCGCTGTAGTTCATTTTGAAAATTTGGGTTTTGATTGAATTGGATTCTGAATTGTGCTGTTGATTGAACTTATAAACTGGCTACAGGGTTGCTTAATGCCATGGTATGGATGGTGAAGATGCATTAAGCCAATGTATTATTTATACTACTATGATGCTGCCTTTTAAACCGATGCAGAGAAACCACTCACTGAAAATAATATCGAGAAACCCAAAGAGTTACTTTTGCCATGGTCGAACTTCCCAAGTCTCTTTCTCCAAAGCAACTTCTCAAGCTCCTTAAGGCAGAGAAAAACCACCACTCCGCCCTCCAACTCTTCGATGACGCCTCTCGGTGTCCTGGGTACAAGCACTCCTTCAACGTCTTTCTTCACATTCTTCGACGCCTATCCGACCCAAGGTTGGTAGTCCATGTGGGTCGGGTTCTTGAGATGATCCGATCCCAAAAATGCAAGTGCCCGGAAGATGTCGCATTAACGGTGATTAAGGCCTATGCAAAATATTCCATGCCTGATCAAGCATTGGATACGTTTCAGCGAATGGGGGAAATTTTTGGTTGTGAACCAGGAATAAGATCATACAATTCGTTACTTAATGCTTTTATTGAGTCCAATCAATGGGATAGGGCAGAAGCATTTTTTGCGTATTTTGAGACAGTTGGTATGGTGCCAAACTTGCAGACCTATAATATTTTGATTAAGATATCTTGTAAGAAGAAGCAGTTTGAGAAGTCGAAGGGCTTGTTGAGATGGATGTGGGATAAGGGAATGAAGCCTGATAGATTTAGTTATGGTACTCTTATTAGTTCGTTGGCCAAGACTGGAAACTTATTGGGTGCATTAGAGACGTTTGACGAAATGAGTGAAAGAGGGGTAAATGCTGATGTGATGTGTTATAATATGTTGATGGACGGGTTCTTCAAAAGTGGCGATCTTGTGAAGGCTAAGGAGATGTGGGAAAGATTGTTGGAGGATAGGTTGGTTTATCCAAATGTCGTAACTTATAATGTAATGATCAATGGTCTTTGCAAATGTGGCAAGTTCAATGAGAGTTTGGATATATTGGACCGGATGAAGAAAAATGAACGACAGCATGATAACTTTACTTACAGTACTCTGATTCATGGGTTGAGTAAGGCTGGGAACTTAGATGGAGCAAGAAGAGTTTATAAAGAGATGATCAAGAGTGGGGTAACCCCTGATACTGTTACATGTAATACTATGCTTAAAGGATTTTGCAAAGCAGGGATGATTGAGGAAAGTTTTGAGGTGTGGAAAGAGATGGGAATGTTTGGTTCTCGAAACATAAGAAGTTATAATATATTTATCATGGGGTTGCTTGAAAACAGTAAGGTAGAAGACGCAATATCCCTATGGGAAATCTTGCCTGACACAGAATGTGCTGCGGATTCCACTACTTATGGAATTTTAACTCATGGTTTGTGTAAGAATGGTTACCTGAATAAGGCTTTACAGATAGTGGAAGAGGCAGAGCATAGGGGAGGTAATGTGGATGCCTTTGCATATTCCACGTTGATCAATGCATTATTCAAATATGAAAAATTAGATGAAGTGTCTAGAGTTGTAAATTTGATGGATAGTTGGAAATGTAATTTTAACCCACATGTCTGCAATTCATTTCTTGATGGATTTATAAAACATTCCAAACCTGACAGGGCTATCGAATTCTTTGAGACAATGAGCTCTAGAGGTTGCTCGCCAAGTGTTGTTTCCTATAATATTCTAGTGAAAGGATTATGTAGAGCGGAAAGATATCCTGAGGCATATATTTACGTGAAGGAAATGATGGATAAAGGGTTGAAACCAGATGTTATCACATACAGCTCTGTGATTGATGGCCTTTGTCAAAGCAAGAAGATTGATGTTGCCCTTAAGTTGTGGCATCAGCTACTTCACATGGGCATTCAGCCCGATGCAACTATTTACAATATTATAATATATGGACTTTGTTCTTATGGCAAAGTGGAATTTGGTCTACAACTCTATTTAAAGATTAGGAAGACCAATTGCGTTAATCTTGTGACCCACAATACCATAATGGATGGTCTCTACAAAACTGGGGACTGTGAAAAAGCTTCAAAGATTTGGAGCCACATTTTAGAAGACGGGCTACAACCAGATATAATTTCATATAATATTACTCTTAAGGGGCTTTGCTCTTGTGGTAGAATAACAGATGCACTTTGGTTATTAGATGAAGCTTTGGGGCATGGACTTGTCCCAACTGTCATTACATGGAATATACTTGTCAGAGCTGTGATTATATGTGGGGCTTGAGCTTCATTTTTTGGGCTCTGAGATTAATTATTGCAATTTCAACCTCTATTATCTCTCCTGCTTCTTGAGCATGTCAGCTGTAGCAATCTATTAATTCATGAGTGGCTTGTTGGCTTCCCTATAAAGCAATGAGCTAGCAGTATCGGAATTGAACCCTAGCAGAGTATTTAATGGTGTTGGGTACACTTCAACTTGCCTTGAGGGAGTGCCTATTGGATAGTGGATACACTATGCAGCTCCATCTTCACATTTCCCGAGTTGGAGCAAAAAAATTTCTCAAAAATGGATACGTCTGTTCTCATTATGTTATGTTAGGGTTTGGATATCCTGATCATTGATGTTTAATTGTTCTAGAAAAGTCACCTGAAATCTGGATGATTCAATGGACTGGTCACCTGTCTGTAGTTCCTGATTCAAGTGCTGTTTTGCGGTAGGCATGTCAATAAGCAACATGACATGTATATATCAGAAGATGGAGGAAAACACTTCTATTCAAGATGAGGTATGCATTAGCTCTATTGATTATTATTAAACTTTAAGGGCTTACTAATCCTTTTTCTGCTTTCTTGGGAAGCTGATTAAAATTGTAAGTAACAGCAAGTAACAGTTTGGATTACACTTACCAGACTTTGCTTATAATTCAACTTTGCAGACTTTGCTTATAATTCAACTTTGCATTTTATAGGGAAGATGGTGAGTTCTTACACGATCAACACCATCATACCTTTTTACTTGCTTTCAGTTGCTTTAGTCTATTTAGCTCTCATTATTCAAAATCAGTGATTGGGCATGCAAAAAATTTCATGATGAAAAAAAAAAAAAAGACACGTTGATCTTTAAATAGCCCCAAGAGACTTTGAAATCGTTGAATTGGTTAGGGGGAACATGTGCACCGAACGTCATCTAACCCTTCTTCTCTGAACAAAAAGGATCATCTGTTTTAATTTGTGGGATATTTTTGTAATATATTCTCGCCCGAGCTGGATATGAACTGGCTGTTTACTTTTTGTTGTTGGTTATGTTAGTCAGCAGTTATTATACTAATCCATGTGGGATGCTGGTATATTAAGCTATAAAGAAGGAACCTTATTCTTGATCGTGCATGGGTTTTCATTATATGTATATATAATATAATAGACATTTTTTAGAATAATAATGCTTTTAATTATACATGTACGTTTGTAAAAGCTGTAAGTTGAGACAACTATAGTTTGATTGTTTATCTGAATAGAATATTAGAGATTCATCAGCATCACGTAAGGTAACTCAATTACCTAGATTTCGGTGATTACAGTGATATCACTGATATGACATATTTTTGATGCCAAAGCAAAAAAATGCTTGATATGTCAGGCCCAAGCTGTAAGCATTCGCTTGGGGTTATTGTATCAGGCAATACTCATTTTTAATATATGTATATTTTTTAACAAACTAAAGCGCCTGTAAGAGATGGACTGTCATTTTTTTTTTTTATAAAAAAAAGTCATTGTTCTTTTTCCTTGTTGTCTTTATGCTTGACATTTTTAAAAATTTATAGATGAATTGAGAAGATAAAGCAACCAGAAGCTCCAACAATTGCAACTTCCCCCCATTGTCTGAGGACGAGGCAATAGCTGGATATCGAATATTCCACAGGTCCAGCTGACATTCTTGGTTTTTGCTACCAGCTATTCTCTGGTTACATTCTTGGTCTTTTCTACCGCCTCCTTGCATTGTTACTTTATCAACAGGTTTCTGTCTCGAATATCAGCATTTGGTTTGTCTTTTATATGAGCTTCGGACTCACTAGTTTGCTCTCGCTTCTGAATAATCTCTTGTAAGCTAAAGCATAATCTTCAAATGCTTCATCTAGCTCTTTATGTTTGCTGTTACCTCTTAATGAAAAAAAATGAGCAAGGGGTGCTTTATTGACGTAATTTCTTACATTCTCGTTCGTGCTCACTATGTAACATTCTCCGGCACCAGCCATCTGATCCGTGGATGATGGCATCTTCTCCTGTCTTGTCATAAGCATCTTTAAACTACTAGGTGTGGTTGAGGAGTCTGAATAGATGGGAAAAATTCAGAGGTTCAATGTCAAATCTCTGCTTGGTCATGTAGTTGGGAAAAACAGAGAGGAAGAGAGAAAAAAAAGCATTGGTATTTGAGACTTCACTCTGCAGTAGAAGTGCTGGGTTTACGTTCATCTTTGCCCGAGGGAGACTAGCAATGAGACTTGTTTGTAAAGGTATAAAATTGAACTACTCATGTTAAGATGTTTCTTGCAGAAAAGTGTACTTATTAGGACAACAGGAATGATGTATGGCTTTTGAGGGCTATCATCATTTTATGACCAGCGAAACTTGTGACCCTGAAAGGGAAGGAAAAAAATTATGAGCATATTAGTGACAAACTCACAAAGAGAAAGGTGTTTGACTCGTTCCAATTCCCTGCAAAAGTAAATATGTAACGCGAAAGAGCAAAGTCATGTGTGTGTGTAATTATAGTTTTTTTGTATATTGAATAAATGAATGCATGGCTATAAACGATTCAGATTAATATTTGACATGTTCGTTGCTTATTTTTGGATAGAATAACATTTTAATAGAATGAGTTTCTAAAATAAAAAAATAAAAAAATCGTATGATTAAAACATGAGATGATGGAGCTTTTACTACTCAAGTTTTAGTGATTAATTTGGCTTCTTAAATTTATTTTTTATCAGTGTAATCATTTATGTCTTCTTAAGTTATAATATTAGACTTTTTAAGTCTTGAAATACGGTGGCAAAAAAAAAAAAAGAAAAGAAAAAATGAAACTCAAATTAATTCTTAAAATAATCTGAGATGTAAATAATGTTTGATGATATCATGAAAGTACAGATGAATAAATGAAAACAAATAAGCGTTTTTTTTTAACTTTTTTTTTGCTATTTTTTTCCTTTCAATTTTTGAGTTTGTTTTCTTTTCCCCTGTTATTCATGTAAATAGAAATTTTTTTTTTTCCATTAATCTACATGATTGTCAACTCATTAATTCGTAAAGATTTTAACCATGTTAACACCTCTTTGAATATTAAGGACTATTTAGTTATTTCATGAAATGTAAAGATTAAATATATGATGCAAAAATATTGACACGCATATTTGGATACGATACATATTTAATATGTTGATATTTTAATTTTTGTACGATATGTTTTCAATATGTGTATATATATTTATAAAAATATTAAAAATATACTTTTAATTTAAAAAAAAATTCAAATTAGGATACATATATAATCTTTTATAATAATACCAAATAAAATATAATCATTAATTGTATTTTTATTCTATCTATACCTAATTGGCTACTATTCAATCCCTACTAATAGGTACAGTATCAATATTTTTTTTTTCTTGACTATCATAAGATTACATTATCTTATAGAATAGTTTTAAATCTAAATACTGATACAGATATATGAGGCAATTTAAAATATCGGTGCTTTATAGAATTAGGTTGATTAAATTTGAAGACTAAATCAATAACTAAACAAACAAAAGCAACTAATATTAGCCTTTCCCTATTTCTAACGATAGTGATTATAATGTAAAGTTAGAGTCTTAAATCCGTGAATGTTTTCAGCTTCTCTAACCAATTGTGTTTGTGCTTGGTAGTGTGGTATCATCTTTAATGGCAAGAAAGGAACGAAGAAAGAAGGAGCGCGAGAGAGAGCGAGAGCGAGCACATGCTTGTGTGATTTTTTTATATATTAAATGAACTTACAATGTGTACATTTAAAGTGAAATAAAAATAGTAAAATATATTTTTTTTTGAATTACAAGGACGTGTACTAATATTATGAGATTATAAGTGCGATTGAACCGGTAACTTTTTACTTATAAAAGAGTTTATATGTTATTAGATTACAATACGATTTACAAAATAGTAAAAAAGGATAGGACACATGCTTATGTTAAATAATTTCTATCTCTTGAATGTAAGGGCAAATATTTTATTTAACGAAAGCCATTAAATAGAAGCTTGAAAGAAAGTGAAGGGGCTAGAATGGGATAATAAAAGACGTTTCATGCCTGAATTTTCAAGTGGAAAGAGAAAGTGAAATATGAACCGTGAACTTTTGATAAAGCCTCAATGTCATTGGGATACTTAAGATGGTAACACAATTATTGCTTGGACAATTAACCCTTCATGACTGCATGTCAGATTGCTTTTCTTTTCATCAATGAAGATTAAAGGTTAATTACTGGCCAAAAATATGAAGATTAAAGATTAATTGAGTTGTGACAGAAGCTTTTTGCATCAACGAACTGAAAGTAAATGAAACGGATCAATTCTCCTAATCACTAATTAATCATTGTTGATTTCTATCTGTAGAATTCAGATATTAATTTAAGTCAAAGTTGGAAAAAATGCTTTAAGTGTTGTTAATGAAGCAATAGGAAGAAAAGATGGGAAATATAAAGTAATGTTTTTCAAAGAAACTCTTGATTATTTATGCACAATTTTTTCAGGAAGGTTATTTAAAAATAAATTATTTTTGTTCGGGTATTTAGTCTTTTACCCACTACACATCCAAGAAACTAAAAAAGTAAGAACAAGAAAAAGTGATCGATAAAGCTGCCAATTGCTTTAATTTACATTAGATTTTTTTTATCTTTGAAAAAGAAATTTAATAGAAATATGGATATAATATATATATATATATATAAATTCTGGTAAAATAAATAACTGTATAATCTTGCTCGGAAGAAAATAGTAGAAAAGAAGGATTTTATGTACTAGGTCCAAAATAAAAAGAGTTTTAGGACTTTTCGTTTTTTCAGATAAGGATCATACAGTTAGACGCATATAAAGTCTTTTTTTTTTTACTAGGAATATCATTCGCTATAACATCAAAAATGTTATGAAACTAGAAATATAAAAGCAATTTAAGATGAAAACAATGAACAATATAATAGAGAATTGCAGAGAAAGGAGGAATAATATTCATTGACTTAGGTATATCAAATGGTATGAATAAATTTACAAATGGTATGAAAAGAAATGGTATGTGGCACTATTCATAAGCCTCCAACCCTATACAAGAGTTATAAATTTATAAATAAAAGAATTATTTTACATTAATTATAGTACAACATGAAATCGTGGGAAGTTATATGAATAAATGTTAGAAAACTATCTGCTTAAGAGCTATGGGTAAATTGCATTAACCATGAGATGGAATTCTAAGAGACAATGTTATGAACATTCACAAATTATAATAGAAAAAATAATAATAAAATATCTTGAATTGTATAAATAACAATTTAGTCTTTCAAAATATTATGATTCAATTATAGTTTTTAAGAACTTTGTGTCAATAAATTTTAAAATAAAAAAATTATTTACCCTTATTGAAAATAACAAGCTCCCATTATAATTTTTGCTTAAAAAATAATAGCTTTTATTTTACAAATTATAAGAGTTAAACAAGAAATCATAACTTGTAAAATATAATTTATTTTATTAAAAATAAATTCTTAAAATAACAAGCTCAAATCATAATTTTTATTTAATGAATAAGAACTTTTATTCAAAGAATCGTAAGAATTGAACAAGAAATTACAATTTATCAATATTTTAATTTAAAATTTATTATCACAAAAGAAATTTTGATAAAATTATGATATTTTAAAAATCAAAAATTAAATTTCCTTGAGTCCACGAAAGGCTAAAACATACTATCTCTCTGCTGGCGGAAAAAAAAAAAAAAACCTCTCTCAAATCTTAGTTAGATTCGCTCCGAACATAATAATTAGAAATCTAAACTCTTAATATTAATTAAGGTATATTCTATATTATATAGCTGCAAATTCTTTATAAATTAAATTGAATGCTAACGCCCCTTCCTTCTTGCTTAAACTCCTAAGTGATCTCTTGGTGTGAATAAAACAAATGAACGAGAGAAAAAATCAAATAATCAAGAGATAGGTAAGAATACATGCTCTCCATCTGCTGGTTTTGCTTGATTTTTACTTCATCTCTAATATTAAAAGGTGCCACTTCGTAACCATCAAACATCATCAACAAATTTCATGATATTGACTCTTTTCCAACCACGCTGACCGTACGTGAACCCAAACCACGTGATTTTGTTGTTTATCTCATTCTAAATTGTAAATGCTACGTTTTCATACGATCCGCTTCTAATTATATGATAAAATTTTAAAGTCATATTTGATCCTAAATATAAGGTAAAGTTGTAGTAGTGAATTAATTTTTTTTTCCAATATTGTCCATCCTTCATATACCAAGTGAGATTGCCAAACTTTCAATTCTTAAATACATTTTCTGATGGTCATTAATTTTAATGAAAGATAGAATTGAAAAGTTTTTTTTTTTACAACACTCAAAAAGAGAAAGATGAATTCAATTTGTTGCTACTTACCCACCAATGCTTAATTTGGGTTTAGTCGTGGTTCTCAAACAAGTGATGATGATCTTCTTATAAGGGCTTCTATCCGATGTATGACATGAAAACCATTTCTCAACTGACGATGTTCATTATAAGGGCTGCTATCTGATATGTGAGCTGAAAACCATTGCTCAACCTTTTTTTTGTCTAATCTCTCAAACTAAGTAACCATCTTCTAGTTCCTTGGCCTCTCCCACTATTATTCTACCTACAATATTTTTCACCAATATAATTACCTACAAACATGGATAAACTAACTATATATGCACATAGCTTTCAGCGTTGAACTTTGGTTCATGTACACTGTAAGAGTTCTAGTCTTTTTTCTCTAGACTCAATTCCCGTTGTTAGTTAAATATATATATATATATATATATTCAGAATGTAATGTATATAACATGACCTTCGGTTTTGAATATAAGTAAGTTACACTCATAGATATTGAGAAAAACATTTAAAGGTTGTTTAAATTCTTAATTTGTCCCAAATTGCAAATAATTCTGAGAACTGCTCCTAAAAAGTAATGGTTGATCTTTTAACATAAATTTAATTATTCTTTGTCATTGCCAATGGCCCAAAGGAGAGAAATGCATGAAAAATCAAGAGCTATTATCTTATGTTAGCTGTTGTCGTTGTTGTTGTTATTTTTAGGTGAAAAAGAGTCTGTTCTTAAGTAAATGATTTTCAGTTAATCACTGCTGCTGTTGCAAGTAAAAGGGTATTTCACCTCCAAAATAATTGATTGAATTTTACGATAGCAATTATTCAGTGGTTTTGCTTTAATTAAACTCTTTTTACCATATTTGGAGGCAAATGAGTTGTTGTAGGTTTAAGGCAAGAATGAAAACGGTTGTTACACTATCATTTCAATTACTATATAGATAGATGTCAAATATTAGAGAGTGTCAATCAAGATATTAGAGTTGTGAGTTATGATAATACTTTGTTGATTGGGCGAAATTGATTACTTTATATATGATGGTTTTATTTTGTAAGATTAAATTACAAATTGGTTCCTAAACTATTAGTCCAAAAGTGTTTGAGACCATAAAAGTCTAAACTCATTTTTTGTATAATATTTTTTTAATTTTAAAAAAATGATGCAATGTGGCCCATATCATTAATAAAAATTAACTTTGATCATTAGTTGACTAAAACATAATAAAAAAAGACCTCAAAAATTATTGAGAAGGACCAAAAAATTAAACAACTAAAAAATTATAGGAAAAAAGAAAGAACTTTTTTATCCTTTCGATCAAAATTAATATTTGTTAAGTATGAGCTATATTGCATTGTTTGAAAAGTTGAGAGGAGACATTACACTAAAAACAAGCTTAAGGTTGCTTACACTTTCAAACCTATAGTTTATATGTCAATTTACCATTCAACCCTCTTTTATATTATGTAGCTTTTGACTTCGTGGCATTAAATTGTATAAAATGCTAATACTAATTATATCGTTCATATAATAGCATGTAAATTACTAAATAGCACAAAAAAGTTTGAGTGAGTAATTTTAGTTTACTTGATAGATGTCTTGTAAATAAGGACTTTTAAAATTGGTCTCTAAGCTATAGAGTCAGGAGAGTCTAGAACTCTAAATTTATTTGTAATACAATGCTTCTTTTCAACCTTTGAAAATAGTGCAATATAATTTTTACATTAATAAAAGTTAATTTTGATCGTTGGTTAATAAGAATATGACATAAAAGGTCAACCTCAAAAATCAGAAAAAATGATCAATAAAATTTTTGTGGTTATTTTTTGTAATTTGTTAGGTCTTTGTCTGTAATTTTTGAGTTATTTATTATAATTTTTTGGTATTTTTTTGTTTTTAATGTCATTTTTTGGTCAACTAAAGATAAAATTAACTTTTGTTAACATTAAAGAAAATATTGCATTAAAAATGAGTTTAGAATCTCAAACATTCTTAATTGTTAAAATTAATTTATATTAACATTAAGGGTCAAATTATACTGTTTTCAAAAGTTAAAAGAAAATATTGCATAAAAATAAGTTTTAGATCTTAGACATCCCTAAACCAATACTATAGAGGTCAGTTTGTTCTTTTACCCTATTAAATATGGTAATCTAATTTACCTTATTAATTATAGATTACCAAAATGCCTGGAATTTAAAAAAATTATAAGAATTGTGCCAACGGATGCTAATTAATTAGTTACAGCATTTTAAGCTAGTTAGTTAATCAATCTTTGGTGGGTATGAGAGAATTTGGATTCAATGACAGGCATAATTTTTTCAATGAGTATCTTAATTATAATATAATTGCTATATTTCATCAATACTTAAAAATTATTAAGATATATTTTATTTCAAAAATTAAAAAAATTATCATAATCAAAACGCTCTTCATCTCCTCTAAAAATTTGAGATTTGATGGTTTTTAAATATTATATAACAAAAACTTTTATGACCATTATTTGATTAAATCGAACAGTTATTATTGTGTCATATTGTGAGACATTTATTAAATGAGTAAACTGAGCTCACTTCTAATATAAGAATATTTGGACCTTGGGGCACACAATTTTACAACCAAATTAAATAAGCTTAATGACCTCCATAAACAATAAAAGAAGGCTAATTAAGGACCCAGAATACGTACTATTCTATGTGCAAAGATATAATCGTATAACCTCGGGTTTCCACTGTCAATTACTAAGAATAGAATTAAGAAAAGTGTTGATTTTTTTTTTTAGGCAGAGAAACAAAAGTGTTAAGTTAGTTTCCAAGAACCTGGTACTGAATTTCTTCTAGGCTTCACCTACCCGGATGAAAACGACGTCGTACCGGTTGTTGTTTGGGCCTTTATAAGGGCAGTGCGTTGGGCAGTCGTTGAAGAATCAACACAAAGTAACTTATATTCACAGCTTTTTAGCTAAGATCGAGAGAGACTGAGAGAATATGAATTCTTTCGTTACATTTCTTCTTCTCATTTCTTGCATTTTTCCAGCTTTGGTTGACTGCAGAGTCAGAAACTACAAATTCCATGTAAGTACACACACACACACACACATGTCATTCGTTTAGTAGCTAACCAATATGATTATCATTGTTAGTGTAATTAAATAACATATTTTATCAAAATAAAGTTAGTGTAAGTAGTAGGAGCTCTTATCATTTAAATAAATTATTAGGGGTTCCAATCCCAGTCTTTACATATATAACAATTTAAGAGAGATATTATCAATAATTGGTAGAGCTTCCTCCTTATTATGCTCTTACAAAAGAACATGTTTTGGTTTAAGAGCTAAAAGTATAGTACATAGCAGTGTATTGAAAATAATGCACGAATGCAGGAGTGCGTGTGTGTAATTAAATATGAAGCGCGCGCGCGCGCACTTTCGGATAGAAGCATTGATTGGCTTCATCCATATTTTATGTTTTGCATGCTGATCACTTTATTGCTAAGTCCCTTATCTCGAGTGGAATTCATATATGCGTTTTTATGTAAATTATTTACATTAAGTAAACCAAGGCATATGAAAGAAACATTCTGAGTATGTATATTCAATTATATATATCTTTGATAAATCGGATATAGGGATATAGGTAGGTTTTCTGAATCATCAACTAATGATGGTGTGCTAATTTAGTACTTTACAACGCTTAATTTGCAAATTCTCTGAAAGATATTTGTTTGAACAAATATGGTCCATATATATAATTAAGAGTTGGCTTTGACAAGCATGCACATGCATGGATACATGTACCGTTGTGATTGGCTCAGGTGGTGACGAAGAACGTGACAAGGCTGTGTTCAAGCAAGCCCATTGTCACCGTCAACGGCAAGTTTCCAGGACCCACACTCTACGCCAGAGAAGGCGATAATGTTATCGTCAAAGTCGTCAACCTCGTCAACCACAACGTTTCCATCCACTGGTACGTAACAGTTAACAGCAAGAAAGTGAGAGAGAGAGAGAGAGAGAGAGACACGAACATGTATGAAGACAGAAGAGTGCTAATTATTGAGAAGTAACAATGTGGACGTTGGATGCAGGCATGGTGTCCGGCAACTGCGAACCGGGTGGGCTGACGGACCGCTTATATCACACAATGTCCGATTCAGCCGGGGCAGAGCTTTGTGTACAACTTCACCATTAGTGGGCAAAGAGGGACGCTTCTATGGCACGGGCATATCAACTGGCTAAGGGCAACAGTGCATGGAGCCTTAGTGATCTTGCCGAAGCGAGGCGTGCCCTATCCCTTCCCAAAACCAGACCATGAGTTGGTGTTGGTGTTAGCAGAATGGTGGAAATCTGATACTGAGGCTGTCATCAATGAAGCTCTCCAATCAGGAGTGGCTCCCAATGTCTCTGATGCTCACACCATCAATGGCCTTCCTGGCACTGTCGCCAATTGTTCTACCCAAGGTATTCTAAACCGCTGCTACAATAGAGCATATATTTTTATTTATTGCTCAAGGCATTTTGACTCAGTCAAATTTTTCCAAGAAACGGAATATAAGCCGACTCTATTATGTTACCTTTTTTCACATTTTTTTTCAGACCTAGGACAGGGCCAGGCACCCCATTTAATCTGATATGTAATTCTGACTCCAGAATATTTTTATATATGAAAATTAGGCTATATTTTATTTTGAAATTTAGAATATTTTAATTTGTATTTCAGAGCATAAATTTATAATATTATAATGATAAACCTAATTTCCAAAAAAAAAAAGTCTTTCAGATTTGGCTCTAGCCTGTACCTGAAAAAAAAAAAGAGAGAAAATTTTTAAGATAAAATAGCTTTTGGGCCGAAGCCTATAGGAGCTGGGCGTCTGTTTTCCCACTCAGTTATGTTGCACTGAACTCAGTCCCTCGAATTCTTGATTCCTATATTACTTTCAGAAAATCATCTCCTCTTTCGTAAAGATGATTAAGTTATAACCGAGTCTACCAAAAAATTAGATAGTTTACAATTGAGTTACACCAAGTTCAGGGATTGAATTAATTAATTGTGTAAGCAAGTGTTTTGCTGAATGCCAATATTATATATATATATATATATATATAAATCAAATTAAGGTTTTTTTTTTTTTTAACCAGCATAAATTACTATGTTTTATTGCTGTGTTTTGTGGACGTGTATATATGCAGATGTGTTCAAGTTGCCGGTAGAAAGTGGGAAGACATATTTGCTGAGGATCATCAACGCTGCACTCAATGAGGAACTGTTCTTCAAGATCGCCGGCCACAGCGTCACCGTCGTAGAAGTTGACGCCACCTACGTCAAGCCGTTCACCACCGACACCATCATCATCGCTCCGGGCCAAACCACCAACGTCCTTCTAACCGCACACCAGGAATCTGGAAAATACATGATCGCAGCCTCTCCTTTCATGGACGCTCCGGTGGCCGTAGATAACCAGACAGCCACAGCCACCCTTCACTACACAGGCACTAGTCCTCTCTCCGGTGCTTCCCCTACGGTTCTCACCACCCCTCCTCCCAAAAATGCCACCCAAATAGCCAACCAGTTCACCAACTCTCTCAAAAGCCTGAATTCCCCAAAGTACCCCGCCACAGTTCCACAGAAGATTGATCATTCACTTTTATTCACAGTGGGATTAGGGGCTAACCCGTGCCCTACATGCAAAGCAGGAAATGGAAGCAGGGTTGTGGCGGCAGTGAATAACGTGACTTTTGTGATGCCAAACACGGCCTTGCTTCAGGCTCATTACTTCAACATCAAGGGGGTGTTTACCACTGATTTTCCTGCCAGTCCACCTCACGTGTTTAACTATACAGCCAATATAACTCAGAATATACAAACCCAGAACGGGACAAGGCTGTATAGGGTACCCTACAATTCGACGATTCAGGTGGTGTTGCAGGACACAGGGGTGATAGCCCCAGAGAGCCATCCTATTCATCTTCATGGGTTTAATTTCTTTGTGGTGGGGAGAGGTGTAGGGAATTACGACCCCGAGCAAGATCCCAAGAAGTTTAACCAAGTAGATCCTGTGGAGAGGAACACTGTTGCAGTGCCTACTGGTGGCTGGACTGCTCTTAGGTTCACAGCAGATAATCCAGGTATTTTAATCTTGGAAAAATTAATCTTTTTTTTTTATATTTTGACTCCCTTGTTAACTCTATTATATTCCTAAATTTTAATTCATTACAATTTAATTCTTATAGCTTGACTCAGATAAAACTCAATTTTTAAACATTAGCTCAATGTAAGTTATCAGTTTCTATAATTTTGACTATATAAAACATTAGTCATCCTAGAGTTTCTAGAAATAATTTTATTTTTTAAATTATAAAAACTAGTATTTTAGATGGTTAAACTATAGGGATTGAATCAAAGTTTTGTAACTAAGTTACAAAGCAATCAAAATTATAGACTGAGTCAAAATTTAGAGACTAAATTATTTTAAATCAAAATTTAGTAACTGAATTATAAAAAAATTAATTATGGAGATTGAGTTGTAATGAGTCAAAATTTTACTAAGTTTGCACCAAGTAACTGAGTGATTAATTTTTCCTTAAACTTCTCATTATCTCAAACCCTAGTCTCTATTAATAATTAACTTTAACTATTATATATAATTGGTTGTGTTTGATTAATACAGGAGTTTGGTTCTTGCACTGCCATTTTGAGGTGCACACAACATGGGGATTAAAGATGGCATTTTTGGTGGACAATGGGAAAGGTCCTAAAGAATCATTACTTCCACCACCTAAAGATCTTCCAAAATGCTGATATGTGTACATTTGACTTCACTTCATTAAGTATATAATTGTGATCGCCAACAGATCCAAGAGAAGGCTCATCCCTATTTCAGAAATGAGGGTATGCACAGATCCAGAGAGAGTGAATGTAGATGACTTGGTTAATTATTTCAATAAGCAAACATTGCACATGTTTTCCACTTTTCTCTTTTTCGGTGAGTTAGCAATGTCAGATTTAGTTTCTTGAAGAACTCTGAATAAATTCAAATTCAATGAGCGGAGAATAATTAGTGGTTGCTTTTGTATACCCGTTTTTTACTTTAATTTGGGGAAATGTCTGTATGGATTGCTATCGACAAAGGTATATCATCAATCATCATTTCGTTGTTCAATGAAATCCATATGTTTCTTTTTCCATCACTGTATGCTGATCAATTCAATTGATTTTCACCCCTCAATGACACACGCGCGCACCAAACCAATTAACAACCGGGAAGTGCTTCTTTGTCTAGGAGCAAATCTTTTAAAAGTCGAGATCCATACATTTGTTTGTAAGTTTTCTTTTTAAATTTTTCTGATACTTTTCTATTATATTATTTTTTAAAAAAATATAAAATCTTCCATCTCCTTTCAAAATGCAAACTTTATAAAATTTACTGATCAAGTTTACAGATTCATTTCCGTTTTATTTGACTAGTACGTTGCCCAAGCCTAGTTACTCTCTTTTGTATATACGGATTATTTCATAACATTTCTATGAAAAAACTTAATTTATTAATACGCAATGGTTCTAGTAAAAGGGCTTATAGCCACTTAAGCATGAGATCATAAGTTTGAATTTGTGTAAATGTAGAAAATATTTTAAAAAAATACTTTCAATTAAATTGACGATGCTCCAATCTAACTTAGTTATATATATATATATATATATATATATATAAAAACTTAACTTGATCCATAATCTCCAATCAGTGAGCACCATATAGATGGAGACAAGGAGTTCCCTTTTTGGGCTGTGTTCGTAGTAATTGGGCTTTGTATCAAATATTTGGAGAAATGAAATGCCGCTTTTCAGACCCAGGCCTTTTGCCCAAAGTTATAGTCCAACAAGCGCAATTTTTTAGGCCTTTCATTCCGCCAAAATATTTAAAAATTAATTGAACGAACACTGAAAATTTTCAGGGAGAATTTTACCAAGGGCGCTCAAAATGAATTTATTTATTGTTAGGGCCCACTATATTCTGAAAATACACTGTGGGCACTAGGTCCTTTAATGTAATAAAATTTCATGTATCAATTATCGAAATGCCACTGTCTTTCTTTCTTTCTTTTTGAAAAAATGGTGTCCTTGTCGTGGGCTGTCATTGCTCTTTCGCCGATGCGAGGCTTCAATTGCTAGTGGTCAAACCACCGCCACCAACCATCGGAGCTTTGGCATTGGTGCGATGGTCTAACAATGAACGAATGTATTAAGGTAAAAGGCTAAAGATGGATTTGAACTCTTCATTGGGCCAACAAACACTTTAACCCACGCACGTACGTTTGAATAATCACTCATAAATATTCCTTTAATATTAACGAGTTATAAATACCATGCTAAATAAAATGTGTGTGTATATATATATAATTATATGTTATAAATTTATTTTTCAAACATTTTTAATCATGAACATCTTTTTGTTAACATTCAAACAATTCATTTATAAATATTCAAACATGACTTATTCACACATAAAAAAATTATCAATTTGTAAAACCTAACTTATTCTATATTTACAACATATTCCTTTACTGTTGACAAATTATTAATATTAAATAAAAAAATATGCCTTTTATAAACTTTTTTTCAAGGATTTTTATAAGCTTTTGTTAATCATGGACATTTTGTTATTAATATTCAAACTGAATTATTAGAACATGTCATATTCATACATAAAAAAATTGTTAATTTTCAAAATTGAATTATTCTAATTTTTTTTACAACACATTCTTTAGTGTTGACAAGTTATCAATATTATGTTAAATAAAAAATATATATTTTATAAATTTATTTTCCAAGCATTTGCATGGGCTTTTTAAATTATGGATGCTTTCTTGTTAATATATGAACAATCATTTATAAATATTTAAATATGACTTATTTATATATAAAAAAATTGTTAAATGACCTCAAAATATAAGAGTAACCCTGAACAAGTAATGTTCGAGTGTTTATAAGTAGTTGTTTGAATATAAATCAAAAAAAATCCAAAATATGCAATAACAAGTGAAAATGCTTGAAAGCCAAAATATCCACAGCGCTCGACAACCAATGAGTTGAACATTTTTTTTAAGAAAAAGAGAGTCAAGGGCATTTTTGTAATTGAAACCTAAAATTTTGTTTCACTAAAAGACCTTGGGCTTGTAGTTTATTTTCAGAAAGTATTGGGCCTAGATAATAAATAAGTTCATTTTGAGGCTCTTGGTGAAATTTTCCCAAAATTTAATATCACTATATTATAATTATATTAAGTTGCATTTGGTTGGGTGGATTTACATTGAAAATTTGGATTTAAAATTTTATACTTGAAATTCATAAATTCTAAATTTTTATTTGAATGATATAAAAAATTTTAAATTATAATATTAAAATCCTTTACTCGGATCTAAAGTAAAATTTTAAATTTTAAATTTAAATTTAAATTTAAAAGATACATGGACGACGTCAGTAGTCTATTCCCAGTCAAAGTTAATAATCTGAATGGCTAACTTTCATCGAGACTAGACTATCAATGTCAACTAGGACTATATCACTGATGATGACTATAACCAAATGGTGACAACTAGGACAAGACAGTCAACTTCTACTAGAATCGAACCTACAACAACAATCGCATTGGATGGCTGACTTTTACCAAGATCGAATGCACGGTGACAACAAGGATCGGACCGCTAACTTCCACGGAGACAGAATTGACAACGACGACTAGGACCAAACGATCGATTTCAATTAGGAGGTAACTAGGACCGAATCATCATTGTCAACTGGGATTTGTGCTTGCAACTGAGATTGAATAATCGACTTCTACTGTGATTAGGTCGATGACTTTGATTGAGATCGAATTGATGACTTTAATCGAGATCAAATCGTTGACGATTTCGTCACAGTCATCGTCGATGTTCAAATCATGGTGGAAGTCGGCCGTTCAATCAAGGAAGGTGCCAGAGGTTTGGTCTCGGTAGAAGTCAACCTTCTTGTTTGGATTGTTGCTCCCTACCAATGGAGGCAATTTGATCTTAATGGAAGTTAGCCATCTGATCTTGGTTGGCGTCGGTGGTGCAATCTTGGTTGGCAATGATGGTTTGGTCTAGGTTAATGGTAGTGCCTTAGTTTTGTCAATTTCGCGGTCCAATTCAATTATCATTAGTTGGTAGATCAAGCCTTCATGAATTTAGGTCAAATTATAAAAAAAATTAAGTTAGAATTTCAAATAATAAGGATTTAGAAATGATTTTAAATTACAAAGATATTAAGGTAGAACTTTGACTTGAATTTAGATCACATCTAAATTCACAGATTTTTAATTATTCAAATAATGAATTTGACTCAAATCCAAATTTAAATTCAAATATATATGTATATATGTATATATATATCCAAACATAGCATTAAAGATCTAAGCCTTTTTGGGATAAATTCTTAGCACCAAACATCAAAGATATTAACATATCCATCACACCCGCAGAGGATTAGAGGCTTGAACCAACGCAAGTTCGTGCTTAAGTGGAACTCATGGGAAGTGTTTAGTTTTATTGGGTCATCAAACCTTTAGTCAAACCCCGAGATATGTGGCGTGGAAACTTGCATAAAGCAGGCTAAATTATACAAGTATTTAAATATGCTTATACTCCATTCGTTTTTTGAATGGGAATTACTAAGTTTATTTTTATTTTTATTTATAAAAAAATTACATATTTCAAGAAACATCTATGACTTCTTTATATTGTCTCTCATAAAGCCAATGTTTTTTTTTCATTAGATAAATTTATTTCATTAATTATAGAGATAATTTAGTCTAAATTTTTTAATTTCAAATCAATTATTATACTTAACCATTTTTATTAAACAATATGAATTAATTAATTATTTCTTCCTATATTTCGAAATGGATGGAGCATTTGAGAATAACAACAAAAAGTTCATTATTTATGATATTAATTAAAAATATACTCCATCTATTTAAAAATATAAGACACTTTTAACCAAATCTCACCTCTAATAAAGTAGTTACTTATTTTTAAGTTAATTTTATCTTTATTAAACTCCCTATAATAAATATAAAGTAATTCATTAATAAAGATATTTTTAAAAAAAATAATAATTAGACTTTAAAAAATTAAAAATATTTTATATTTTTAAATATTTAATTTTTAAAAAAATATTTTATATTTTTAAACAGAAAGGGTATAAATTCTTTCACCAAAAAGACAATTCGTTTTTCCAAAACATGCAATGGAGCAGAGGGAAGAAGTTCGAAAGCCCCTCCTCTGCAATATGCTATGATGCTCTGTGATTGGCCCTAAAGGAATTAACTATTCAGCTTTGGGCATATTATTGATGCAACTGGCAATATCGAATCCAAAATTTCCAAAAATTGGCAAGAGGGAATCTTTCTAGATTTGGAAATATTAGCTTTGCTTAGTTGTCCATGACTCATTGGTTTTAACAATAACATGCTTGTTTCATCAAGAAAACACAATAATAAACCACGAAATACCTTTTAATTTAATAAAATTGATTGTAATTTTTTCGGGAAAAGTGAGAAAATTAGGAAAAATAAACGTCACTTTTTCCTTTTTTTTCCCCTTCTTCTTGTGATGAAAATAGGCAAAAAATTTTGAGTTAATAAACGCATTGAGAATGCTTATGTGATAATTAGACATCTTTTTTATCAAATTTGTATCCTCTTGCTCTACTGTCAATTTTAAAGAGATGGAGCTTACTCGAATAGTTTCTCAATTCAATACTTCAGTAATTCAGTTTTTTAAAAAAATATTTCAACAACGCTACAAATATAAAATATGAAATATAGATCAAAATTAATATTCTTCAACATTTTTCTACATATTTGATTGGATTTCATATGATTTTGCTACCATTTATTTAATATTTTTCACATATTTCAATCATGAATAATTATGCTATTTACGTGTAAACCTTAGAACTTGTATTTAGCTTTTCATGCATGACATGACGAAATGAATTAACTAACTTACAATACCAATAAAACAGTGGCCAAAAGAACTTATAATAAAACTTGCTAAAATGATTACAAATAGTTATATATAAAAATTATTTATTAGATTTATTTTTCAAAACTAATAATAAAAAAGTCTTGATGATTTTTTTTTTTAACATTTATTTAACTAGCACCAACTATCCCATATAGTGCGAAGGAAGTATTCACTTAAACAAGATCCATAAACAAATTAACTAAATCAAAGGAATAGATGCATTCCAACCGAGGATCCAAAATAAAAGTCTGAAAATGAGAGAACTTCACACATAAACACATAATTTAACTCCCAAAAAAAAAAAAAAAAAAAGCCTGCAATTCAACTTGAACGACAGAGAATATGCTTATCCAGGATGGAGTCCCTTTCGTCTCTCCTCTCCTTCCTTCCCTTCTCTGTAGTCGCCGCGCCTGCGAACTCCCTCTCCACCAATCATATTTCTGTGCCTTTGACCCTTCTGTGCCTCTACTCGTCCTTTTTTCCAGAGTCGATCGCTGTCTCACAAGCAGTACTAACAGCTGACACATTTCTGCTGTTCAAACTATGCTACTGCTCTGCCTGTTTCTCATTAATTCTCTGAACTTTATTGCTCTTCCCAATTTCTCTCTCGTTTTTCTTCAATTCAAAACCATTCTGTTCAATGGGTTTCCATTATTGATTATCACTCTATAAGCTTCTAAGCTAGCTATTCTCTGCTCATTTTCCATTCATCTTCTCAATTTCGGTCTGGGTTTTGGCTTTTTCTGTTGTAGATCTGAAAAGGTTTAGGGTTTATTCTTCCCCCATTGCTCTGTCGAATTTGGAATTTTTTCCTTGGGTTTTGGAAAGAAAGCCTTTTCTAGATTCCTCAGGTATTTTGGGTACGTGAAAAGGGCAGCTGATTCCCTTCTAATTGCGTATTGGTTAAATTAAATACTTTCTTTGGCCATATGAAGCCTCTCCAGAACCCTTCGCCATTTCTTGCTCACTCTGTTTCTCTCTCTGAATTTTCATCAAACAGAGAGTGCGCATTTCTCTAACATCTGCTTTGGCATGCTTGCTTGTTTGCTGCTGTGTTCAATACATCTAGAACAATGAACAGGGGAATTGAAGTTCTCTCTCCAGCCTGCTACCTCCAGAACTCTAATTGGTTGTTCCAGGAAGGCAATGGAACTAGATGGACCCCGGAGGAGAACAAGCGGTTTGAGAACGCTTTGGCTCTGTATGATACGGATACGCCAGATCGTTGGCTAAAGGTGGCGGCCATGATTCCAGGCAAGACTGTGGGAGATGTGATCAAACAGTACAGAGAACTGGAAGAAGATGTGAGTGTCATTGAAGCAGGGCTGTTCCCAATCCCTGGGTACAGTGATAGATCTTTCACATTCGGGTGTGTCAATGGCCAAGGCTTTGATGGGTTCAACCAATTTTATACTGTTGGTGGAAAAAGGGGTGCGACCACTAGACCATCTGAGCACGAAAGGAAGAAAGGAGTTCCATGGACTGAAGAGGAGCACAGGTAATCAATTGACGTCAGTTAGTTTTTTTTTTTAATTGTTTTATATTTGTGGCTTCCAGGGTGATCTGATCGCCCCTATTTAGATCATTCTCAAGAATCCATGATTGGCTAGCTAGGATGTTGAAACAAAAAGTTTGAGAAGTTAAGATACATTAGGATTGATTTTGCATTGATTGGCTAGTCAGTGTTTGGTAATCAATTGTAATCATATGTTGGGCCCTTGCATTTGCTTATCGGTCTTCAATCCACATGAATAGTCTTGAGGATCAAGCTGCAATTGTTAAAGAACGTTCATGGATAGCTTTACACTTCACTGGAATTTAATAACAGGAACCTCTTTTAGTTATTATGGCTAATTTAATTATTATAGCTGACTATTGCAGGCAATTTCTGATGGGTCTGAAGAAGTATGGCAAAGGGGACTGGAGAAACATCTCTCGCAATTTTGTGACCACGAGGACGCCTACTCAGGTTGCGAGTCATGCTCAGAAGTATTTCATCAGGCAGCTTACAGGAGGGAAAGATAAGAGGAGATCCAGTATCCATGATATCACTATGGTCAATCTCCAAGAAACCAAACCTCTTTCATCAAACAGTATCAGACCTGCTTCTTCAAATCATCCCCCGAAGGTTGTAAATCCACACCAGAATCAGATATTCATGGTTAAACAGGAATATGACATGCCAATGGATTTCAATCCCACAAACGAGAACATGTTCTTGGCACCCATGTATGGGATTTCTTCATATGGATCGAAACCACAGGAGCAGCTTATACTCAGAGGTACGCTCCATGGACGTGATTATGGACCTTACGATACCATTCTTCAGATGCAATCAATGCAGCATCAGTGAACTATGGATATAATGGAGGGTTTAGATGAAGTTCTGGACGTGTTAAAACGCTAAACCCCTTTTCAATGATGGTGCATTTATTTCTTCACACATGCTTCGTGGTGTTCTATGTGTAGATGTTGTGGAGGACTCAGAATTAGAGGTTAGTGATTAGACTCTGAAGAGTGAAGATATCAGTACATATTGTATTCCTATATCAAAATTCCGGGACAAGAACCAGATAACCATGTATACAGGGAAGTTATTTTAACATGTGAAGCTTGAGGTTGTGTAATATGATTTTCTGATGATGATGATGATGATTATTATTATTATGGTATTCATGTAGTTTTAATTTGATGAGAATTCCCGGTAAGCATATATCTGTTGTGTAACTTTCTGTCTGGGAAGAACCAAAGAAGTTTGTCGGCAGAATGACCCTTGGAAGAGAGGAAGAGTTGCATTTCTCTTCGTTTTTCAGCGGGTCTTGAGGATAAATTGAACAGTTCCGAGTTCTCACATGAATGAAAAAAGCACAAACTTTGATGCATAGTCACTCATTGTTTTGTGTGCCTCCCATTATCGACTCTCCCTGGTTTTTACCCTTAAAATTTGGACATCGAGAGTCTAAATGAGACATGCATCAGCGCCAAATCAGATGAGATCATCCTATTTTGCGAACTATGATTTTCAAGTGACTTTTTTTTGTTGTTTAAAAAAAATTACATTAATTATGTGTAAACAATCAAACATGCAAGTACGTGAGTGAATTACTTGTATACCCTTTGGACTTCCTTGACATGAATAAACGCATTTTTATAAATAATTTTAACTGACATATTCTTTGACAAATTTTTCAAAGAACTATAGCTAGGGCCCATACATGCATATAGAGCTTTCAGAGGCATCGACATTGTTTAAGACTTAATTTGTAAATATTATAGTTTAAGCATGTAATTAAAAAAAGTCAGAATTTCCAACTCATCAGAAAAATAATGAAGATAAATTAAAGGAAAAGATTGAAGCACGTGGGGTAATGTGTTGAAGGGAAGTGGAAGCAGCTTATTTGGACACTAAAGAGGGAAAGTGGTGTGGAATGGGGAGATGGTTGGGGTGAGTCACATTGCATTTGTTCATAGTGACATTGTCGTCTTCTTCCTCTGACTCTGACTCTGTCCACAAAAGGTCGTGTAAGAAACTAATGGAACTGTGAAAGAGCTTGACATGCATGGAATCTTGACCCTTCGTCTCTCTATGGGCCACTTATTGAAGCATCTCATGCTCCACTTTCTTCTCTCTTTTCTCATCACTAAGCATCTCAATCTATTTTCTGTCTTCTTGTTGTCCTCGTTGGATATTATAAAATATTTGAATATTTTAAAAAGGAATTATTATAAAACAATAATATTAATTACTATTTAAATCAAATTATATTGTAACTTATATATTTAAACCCCATTATTATATGAAATTATTTTTTTTTGAAATTGTGCTTAATGTGTTTATATTGCCCAACTTTTGAGATATTTGCCTTAATGCTTGCTACAGGTTCTTGATGAACCTTTGAACTTTCGAGCTTTCTCTCCTTTTACTTTATTTATGATGTTACTTGAGTTTATTTTATAAATTTTTATTGTTCTGTGTTTTTGTTCATTTTGTAAAAACAATCTACTTAATACTAAGAAGTTGTCACACTATTAATCTAGCGTGATGGAATAACTCTTAAAAACAGTGTCTTTAAGTACAACTCAAACTATAATTTTACCTATTATTGCTAACATTCTTCCTCCATTTTTGCATTCTCATTCTTTTCTTTTCTTTGTGGAGTTTAAAGTAAGTTACAATACTATTTTTCATACTTATGATATATGAATAACCTATATTTTTTATAATATATATATATATGTATATATATTTATATATATAACTTTTAGTCCCATAGCATTAATTTCTTTTAATTAGTGACTCAATTTTTAAATTTTGACTCAAAATAATTTTCTAAGTTAAGGAATTATAGAGATTGGACTGTTTCAAGTCAAAATTTATAGGATAAGTTACGGAATGGAAAAATTGTAGGACAATAAAAATGGTATTTTCATCTATGTAACAGTATATTAATAAATAATTTGTAACACAAGAAATTTAGATGGTGATAGAAAATGATATCCAACATAAATATACCCTCTAAAATATGGATGAAGGAGAGAGAGAAGAGCTGGTCGCAATAATATTGCACAATTAAGTTATAGTTATGTCCCCTCCCGCTTTTCCCTAACAATTTGAGTTGGAATTTTTTCCGTTCGACATATTTTTAGAGTAAGGTTTTAATGCACTTCGTTGTTGATGAGGTGGAATAACGCAATTTTTTCAATTGACAGCTAAAACGAAATGTGAATATATCCTTTGCACTAGCGTAACAAATTAAAAATTTAGAATGGTTATATATAAGTGTCCTACATATATATAATGGATTTTAGTCTCTGCGTTTTTTCTCTAACACACGCTTAATCCACAAATAACTGGAAAGGGACCGTAAAAAAAAAAAGTAATTCTTTTACAATGAAGACCTTTTGGATCGAAGTTAAGGGTTGACTAATTAATTCAATGTTAGGAGATTTAGGGCCTGTTTGTTTTTTATTTTTAAAAACTATTTTTTGTTTTTAAAAATTTTAAAAAAATTTTAAAATTTATTTAGATAAGTGGTTTTTATTTAATTGTTTCCAAAACTGTTTCATTTTTTTTAAAACATAAAAATGAAAATAACTTATTTTTTTATTTTTAAAATAAGCTACGTTTGATTATTAAAAATTATAGCTACATTAAGAAATTTATATTATTAATTACCACCATTAATTACCTATAACCATTACTATCAGTTTTTTTAAATTTTAAAAATATTTTTAAATTGATATAACCAAATGATTTTTTATTTTATTTGATTTTAAGAAATAATTTTAAAAACTATATTACAAACAATTTTTAAAAATAAAAAATGAAAATAAAACCAAACAAACCCTTATTTTCTATTTTGATGATGAGCATTCAAACTTAAATGCTGACAATTAAAAAACTCCATATATATATATGTATATAATATAATATAATATAATATAAGTATGTCAATACTAATCTCGACTAACAGGGTTGAATTTAATAAAAGAGGCTAGTTCCTCACAACGTAACTAACTCAAGTTCAAATTATTTTAAGAGAGGTATCTATATTAATACCCCACAGTATATATTTCAAACAAGATTGTTTATAATTAAAAAAATTGTAAATGATCTTTCATGAAACAACTATATAGGAAGAACCTCAAACTATACATAAGAAATGAGTCTATTTTAAAGATTTAGGACAGCAAAGTCTCCAAATTCATAGGACACCCAAGTTTTCCTTGTCACTGTGAAGAGGGACAGATATGAACCTTCCCAAATTCGAATTCACACGCATTAATTCTTCATCTTCTTGGAACCTCGTGCATTATTTCAATGGAGAAGGGACGACATTGATTAGTGGAGTCCGTACTAATGAAATTGAAAAAAATATTCCTGGATATTTATATATAGATAGATGCTGATAATTAGCACTTATACCAATTGATGGAAAGCAAAGTGATCCACAATTCCTTCGCAAAGAAAATGTTGACAACACATTGTAACATGTGTGATCCAGGTTTAAAATCCTTTTGGCATCAAACTGAAGATCACTCAACTATATAATTTTGAATGTTCAGGATTGGAAAATACTGATCATCCCTCCATAATATAAGCGACAAGTGTGTCATATTACATACACGCAACGTCATGAGATGCTTTGAATCTCTTGTTGACTGCTCGTGTAGAATATATTGTCTAATCTTTAACATTGAAGATGCACATATATGCAACTGAGTTAACTGCTTCTATTTGTATTCTGTCGTGGTCCATACCTGTTCAATTAGTTCTTTAAATTTTATTATCCAATCCTATTTTCCATATATCTGGACGAGAAACGACATTCCTTGTGTCGATAAAAAAAAAAAAAAAGTATGATATGTCTGTTTGTACACATGCGTTGTGGATGTAGATTTTTTGCAGAACTAGTTCGGATGCGACTTGGATGAAAAGAGACGAACCAATTTTCAGATAATGTTAGCTAGCTGGCTGAAATAACTCGAATGTGTTTGGCCAACGCCGGTCAATTTCAGCTAGTTAATGAGATATAAGTCCAACGATATTTGTGTTGTTTTATTAAAAAAAATTAATTATAACCAAATTTTATAAGATGTGAAAGTACTTTATAAATTCATAAGATTTACTTATAAATTAGTTTTATGATTGAGACTGTTTGGGTATTAAACGAAATGTCAGTCCAAAATTATAAAAAAAAAAAAACTAAAATGATGTCAGGCCTAAATGAAAACAAGGCTTAGCCAATTCTCAAAAGGAATTGTGTCATGCACATACTTAATGTGCCCTTTAAAATTCAAAACGGTTGGATAGTGAAAACTATTGAAATTATGAGATTATTATTTGACAACAAGTGTCATGAATCTCGCAGGGCTATATGTTGAGTGATTATGGATATTTCTCATGCAGGCTCCAGATTCTTGGAACACAACGATATCAAACGAACGGGCTCAGTTAAAGATAGGGGAAAAAAAAAAACTAACACCAGATACCATCTCATATTCATTTTTGCAAATTATTGACCCTATATTCCACATTTAGACTTAAGTTTATTTTTATTTCATAAGTTGTAATTATTGTGATCCTGTATTTTAATTTTCATTAATCAAAAACATTTTTACACTAATTTCTTTACATTTTCACGTTTAAGTGAATTGGGTTAAGAAAACTCAAAAATTCTATAATTATTTTTGAGACTTTGTGTATTGGCACACCTACTTTTTTGATTCAGGCACAGCATTTAACTTTGTGCCAGAGACGCGGTGCCATGAACCCATGATACGTTGGATCCAATGCACAAAAACAAAAACTCACAAGGAAGCTAAAAAGTACTGTACCTAATACTCATGCGAAAGAATCTGCTTTTCTCTGCACGTTTGCATCGGAAAGCACTATCCCTACTTTATTTCATATTTCTGACCTCGTTTCCACAGCCTTTCACCCCCAATCTATAATTTAATTTATTTATTCCTTTTTCATAATATATAGGAGTGTATATATATATATAAAGAAGAAGTAATTTGTTGGGCTGGGATTCTGATTCTTCCGTTGAACCCGATCGCCTCTGTGACGGTGGGTGCCAGGGTGGGTGCTCTCTATGAAACGACAAGACCAGAAAACAAAAAATCTCATCATCTGGTCCATCAAAATCAACAGTGTTTTC